CACCAATTCAAACAGAAAATAAATTAATCCAAAAAAAAAAAAATCCACGTAAACGTAAACGTAGAGTTTTATTTCTACACTCCACTATATCTATTTGATCTAGTGTTTTTGCTGTTGTTTGTTGATGCGTATTAAAGTCCTAGTATTGTAGTTCGTGTTTAGAAGAACGTTGTGGCGAATGCACTTTTGCGCATGTTTTTTTATATGTACATTTGTGCATGTCCATTTGAGCGAGTGTGCTTGTGCATGTTTGTTGATTTGTATTAATGTCCTAGGATTGTAGTTTGTGTTTTCATGATCCTTTTTGCGAATGCACTTTTGCGTGAGTACTTTTGTGCATGCCTTTGTATACTTACTTATGTGCGTATCTTTCTAGCGACAGTTTTTGTACACGTTTCTCGATGCGCATTCATGTCCTCGAACTTTAGTACGTATTTTCATGATCGCTTTTGGAATCCAATTTTGACCATGTTCGAGTCCGAATTTGGATTTTTCACGTTTGACAGGAAATGTAGCCAGCTGAAATAGCTTTCTAATGCCGCCGGAACCAGTTGATTTGGAGTCCGGATGAGAAAGTTATGCTCGACTTCGTGGACGTACACTACCAAAGATTTTGAGGGATTCTCTTTTCTAATTTGATTGTATTTTCCTAATTGCAAATCTATTCTTTCTCTTTGATCATTTTTGCTTCCTGGACACCTAATTTTCGATTTGTACCTATAAGATACCAAATCCACCAATTCAAACAGAAAATAAATTAATCCAAAAATAAAATCCACTTAAACGTAAACATAGAGTTTTATTTCTACACTCCACTGTATCTATTTGTTCTAGTGTTTTTGCTGTTGTTTGTTGATGCGTATTAAAGTCCTAGTATTGTAGTTCGTGTTTATAAGAACGTTGTTGCGAATGCACTTTTGCGCATGTTTTTTTACATGTACGTTTGTGCATGTCCATTTGAGCGAGTGTGCTTGTGCATATTTGTTGATTTGTATTAATGTCCTAGGAAATATTTCGAAATAGTATGTCGAAATAAATTATTTTTCATAAATTAGGATTATTCTTGCACATGAATTTAAATGAGCATTTCATCATATTTATGCATGCACAAGGTTTTAGAAAATGAATTTTTATCATGCATTTTAGGATTTTTAATTAATGTCGAAAATTTGAAAATCCTCCCCACATTTTTCTTGAATTTTCGGACATCACAAACACACACACATGATTTTAAAATTTGCATTTAATTAGTAGAAAAACATGCATTAGTGTGGTTGTACTTTGAGCATAGGAAGAAATACTCAAGCCTAGTTCCCTACTCTATAGACTAGGCATACTTTTCACTCCTTTAAGTAAGACCAAAGGTCTTCTTCTTCTCCCTTCCTTCTTCATTTCGGCAGCCACACCACCACCACCATAACCACCATTTTCTCAAGCTTGAACCACCCAAGAACCACCACCACTCCCATTTTCGAAAATTGCAAAATCACCCCCAACCCACCTAAAGATTAAATTGCCAAGAAGCCCCTCCTCAATACTTAACCATTAAGGTTGCAAGCCTCCCCATTCTATAAATAGAACCCATTACCAAGTGTTTCCTCATCTCCCCACTACAATCCTAAGAAATCTCTCTTCTCTTCTTTCTTCATCCATTTTCGAAATTAGTAGTAGAAGAAGCTCAAAATATTTTCTTCAAGAGATTCTTGAATTTGAATGTAAGAGCTTCATCTCCTCTCTTATTCGAAAATTTCCTCTCTTCCTTCTTCATATTTTTTTGTAATCTAACTATTTATCTCTTCTTGTATTAGAGAGAAAAGAGCTAACAAATCCTTCCCCTAAAGAGTATAGGTGAGAATTCTTGAATTCTTGCTCAAACCTACAACACCACTAGTATTTTCGGTTTTTATGTGTTTTTATGGATTTCTATGTGTTTTTATTGTTTATTATGTGATTATATGTTTAAGATGATGATTGCATGTTAGTATTTTGAAAAGATGACTTTGTTCTTGAAGTTTTATGATTTTTCGAAAATTGGGGAAAAATGTTTTAAATGGGTTATTTGGCTTAATTAGTGCCTTGCATGTGTTGATCTAGTATTTGATTGTTGATTTGTGAAAAGAAAATGAATTTTTGGCCTAGCCATGAAACTTTCGAATTTTTGGGGAAATATGTTTTAAATGGCTTATTTGGCTTAATTAGTGCCTTGCATGTGTTGATCTAGTATTTGATTGTTGATTTGTGAAAAGAAAATGAATTTTTGGCCTAACCATTAAACTTTCGAATTTTTGGGGAAAAATGTTTTAAATGGCTTATTTGGCTTAATTAGTGCCTCGCATGTGTTGATCTAGTGTTTGATTGTTGATTTTTGAAAAGAAAATGAATTTTTGACTTAACTAAGGAACTTTCGAATTTTTGAGGGAAAATGCTTGAAATTGCTTATGTGGTTCATTTTGTGTTTTGTATGTGTTGATCTTGTGTTGATTGTTGTTTTAAGGCCTTGCATGTCAAGATTGGTGATTGATTGTTGATCTAAGGTCTTTCATGTTAAGATCTAGTGATTGATGGTTGATCTAAAGTCTTGCATGTTAAGATCTAGTGTTTTCTATGAAAAATGGTTTAAGAACTAAATTTTTTGTGCTAATTTGATTTAAAATACTCTTGCCTGTGAAGATCTAGTGTATTTTCTTGAATAAATGTAAAGATGGAAGTCTTGAATTTTATTCTTGTAAAAAATGCTAGATCTAGTGAACTTTGATGTTAGATTGTTTTTGCATGTTAAGATTTCGGTTATTTCTATGTTTTTACGACTAAATGATTTTGTGAAACTTTATGTGTATTTTCTATGTGCTCCTATGTGCTCTTGCTTGCTTATGTGAATCATTGGGTGTGAGGGTGAGAGAAGGGTAAGTGGAAGGGTGCATGGGTGGGTTCATTAAGTGTCATGAATTTTTAAAAGGATAAAACTATGTTGGAAAGTCTTTCGAGGTTACGGTAAATTTCTCGGATACGGCGAGCCTGGTACCGTAGGGCCTAGGGGTGGTTTGATCCCACGTAGTTTGACATGGTTCGAAATATATGGGGTTATTGACCGGTAACTTAGATTGACTCTTCCGAGGGATTCCCGACAATTTTCATGTCATGCATGTTGCATTATGGTGTTGATGATATAGGGGGAAAATCTCACTCTATGGTCTTGGGATCGTAGGGTTATAAAGGTGGGAAATTCCTTCTATAATCTTCAATACGTGTCATGGCATAGGGTTATAAAGGTGGGATATTCTCACTCTATGGTCTTGGGATCGTAGGGTTATAAAGGTGGGAATTATCTCACTCTATGCGTGTGGCAATTATGTGAATGAAGAACGCCGACGAAAAAGGGAAGTATATGATTGTTTTACTTCATGTTGTATGTTCATGTATAAGATATATGTATGTATATATATGTATAGATATATGTATGCTCTATGTGCTATGTGTATTCGATATTACTTCAAGATTCTCATTGAGTCCTCAAAGACTCATATAGGTGTTGTATGTTTGTAGGTATACCCGATTTAGGGTCCGAGGAGTGAAGTTGGGAATCGAGCTCGAGAATCGGAAGGAGATCCTATGGAGGGGTTGTGGATAGTGTTGGCTCTCAATTTAGTTATGTGGTTTTATTTGTGTAATATGCTTGTAAAAACTTTTGATACGGTTTTAGGTATTTTTTACCGTTCGCTTCCTCCGATCGGTGGAAACTATTAAACGACGACGTGTGTAATAGTAATTAGTATTACCCTATTTTGGATAATTAATGGGTAATCCGTAGTCTTTTGTAAGCGAAAGCAAATTTTCACTATTTATATGCATGCATGCTTTCGACTAGTGATTTCTTCGTGTTTTGTCTCCATGTTCTAAAATTATTTTCATATAGGTGATCTGCTTATAAAATCATGAAATTTTAGGAGTCTCTACATCTCTCTGTCCTCATCAGTTTGATAGGTCTTGTGCATGATTTGGGTAAGTAGTCATTTAGTTATGATTTATTTCTCACTACTGCATTGAAACAGGGCCATTCGGGTGTTTTCTGGTATAACTGGAGTTTTACTCACTCAAATGCCTTGTTTCCACTTGGAAAATGTTTTAAACTTACCTTTCTGCCTTGGGGTAAAATATGGTAGTTTTTGGGTTAGTGATGAATTTATTATGAATTTTCAAAACTCCCTCCCCTGTTCTGGATTTTTAAACTGAGTGGCTGTGCCATTTTATTTATTTCTCCTAAATGGCCATGCATCTTTAACAAATGTTTTAACTGAGTGATCTAGACCCGTGTTAGAAGGTGTGGTATAATTTTGGGGTTATTTGCATGATTAGTTTAAGAGGAATTAATTTTTAAAGCTTCTGCATTGAATCTGTCCGCATTTGCATTAAGTCCATCATGCCTAGTTGTTTCCTAGTCTTGCATGTAGTATGCATTGGTGTTAATTGATCGATTAGGGTTTAGCAAGCTGTGCCCTCTCTCCCTCTGATTTAAAAAGGAAAAAATTTCTCGTAAATTTATATCCACAAAAATCATGTTTTCAAAAGACTTCCGCTGAGATTACATATAATAAGAGTAATCGAGAGAGGGGTGTCACAGCTAGGGTGGTATCAGAGCAACGATCTCGGAACCCTCCATACGACCTAAAGATCTTCACGATTCTCAAAGCACGACTCCAACTGAGCACTCGGGCAGGTATATGTTTTATGTGAATTTGATGTGAATTTTATGGCTAATGTGAAATGTTTGTATATGTTTAAGTATTATAATGTCTGGAGCAAGAACTCGAGCTCAAAATGCCGCTAACGATCCTCACGATCAATCTCGTACCATCCAAGACCTCACCGCCCTCGTCCGAGAACAAAATGAATAAATCAACCGTCTTATTAACCTTCAAAACCGAAACCCTCCTCCACCTCCTCCTCCTCCTCCCCAACCTAGAAATACAGCCCCACAAGCCACCTACGAGCGATTCTTGAAAATGCATCCTACCGAATTCCACGGCGGCCCTAGTCCAACTGTTGCCGAAGAATCGATCAAATCCCTCGAGGTTATTTTCGAGTACATGGTGATGAACGACAGCGACCGAATCCACTGTGCACTATTCTTGTTGAAAAACGAAGCCCGAAATTGGTGGGAAGGCGCAAAAAGTGGAATCGATCTAGCAAATACCACTTGGGAAGCTTTCAAAGTTCTTTTCTTCGAAAAGTACTTTTCCAAGAATGTTCGAGCACAAAAGCTTAAGGAGTTTCTCGAACTCAAACAAGGAAACCTAACCGTTGCCGAATTCACACGCCGTTTCGAGCAAGGAAGCCTCTACGCACCTTTCATATCCAAAGACGACACCGAAAAGATGAATCACTACGTAAGAGGCCTCAACCCGATAATCAAGCGCGACGTTCGACGAACCTCTGCCTCAACTTTCCGCGGAGTAGTGGACAAAGCCTTAGAAGCCGAACAAGACGAGATGGAAATCCGACAATGGAGACCTCCTCACGATGCCTCTTCTCGACCATGGAAGAAACCGAACCTCAACAACTCCAAGGGAAAGCAACCGATCAACCGAGCAACCGTGACCCCGAGCAACAAGCCCTTTTGCCCTAAATGCAAGCGAAAACATTCTGGCGATTGTGTTGCCGGAACCGACCACTGTTTTCGATGCAAGAAGCCTGGACACATGGTCCGAGACTGCCCTATCGTCCCGAGACAAGTGCCGGGACGAGTATTCGCCATGACTAGAGACCAAGCCGAAGCTGACCCGTCAATGATCGCAGGTACCGTTAATGTGTATAATAATTCCGTGTATGCCCTCATCGACTCCGGATCAACTCACTCATTCATCTCAAGTACCCTCGTTGCCGAACTCCGCCTAGCCCGTAGTCAAGCCAATACCTTGTTTAGCATACTTATTCCTTTCGGTGATGAACTTAAATCCAATTTCATCATCAAAGATTGCCCTATTCAGATTCATAACCAAACCTTAGCCTCCGATCTGATCATCCTACCCATTAAACATTTCGAAATAATCCTCCGAATGGATTGGTTATCAAAGTTCGATGCCCAAATCAATTGCGCTCACAAAACCGTTCGTTTCTCCCTACCGAATGGAAGTTTTCTCGAATTCCGAAGCTCGTACAACCCGTCGATTCCTATCATTTCCGCCATCAAAGCGAGCAAACTTATTCAAAAAGGGCATCTATGTCATTTGGTCGACATAGTGGAAGCTCTCAACGAAGATAAAGCCGACATTTCCGAAATGCCAATCGTTTGCGATTTTCCCGATGTCTTTCCCGAAGATCTCCCCGGTCTTCCGCCCGATCGTGAAATCGAATTTGAAATTAATTTGATCCCCGGTTCCGCCCCTATCTCGAAGGCACCTTACTGCATGGCGCCGTTAGAGCTAAAGGAACTCAAGGACCAAATTCAAGATCTCATCGACAAGAAGTTCATCCGCCCTAGTTTTTCCCCATGGGGTGCTCCGGTACTCTTCGTGAAAAAGAATGATGGAATCCTCCGGATGTGTATCGATTACCGAGAACTCAACAAGGTCACCGTAAAAAACAAGTATCCATTGCCAAGGATTGACGACCTTTTCGATCAACTTCAAGGCTCCACGGTCTATTCCAAAATCGACCTCCGTTCCGGATATCATCAATTGAAGATCAAGAAGGAAGATATTCCGAAAACCGCGTTTCGGACTTGTTACGGCCATTACGAATTTGTAGTGATGTCGTTTGGTCTAACCAACGCCCCAGCCGCTTTCATGGATCTCATAATTCGAATCTTCCGCAAATACCTCGATCAATTTGTGATCGTATTCATCGACGATATCTTAGTGTACTCAAGAAATGATGAAGAACATCGGAATCATTTGGAAATGGTGCTCCAAACTCTCCGAGAGAACCAACTCTATGCGAAGTTTTCCAAATGTGAGTTTTGGTTAAGACAATTCCACTTTCTTGGTCACGTAATTTCCAAGGAAGGCATAGCCGTTGATCCAAGCAAAATTGAAGCCGTTTGTAATTGGTCAATCCCTCGTAATGTCGGAGAAATCCGAAGTTTCCTCGGTCTCGCAGGCTACTACCGACGGATTGTTCCGAACTTTTCCAAGATAGCCACTCCACTCTCTCGTTTGACCCGAAAGGAAGTCAAGTATCAATGGACTCTCGAATGCGAGTCTAGTTTCCAAGAACTCAAGAAGCGATTAAACTCGGCACCAATCCTCGCTCTACCCGATAAAACCGGAAACTATGTGGTTTATAGTGACGCCTCCAAGCACGGGCTCGGAGCCGTCCTAATGCAAAACAGGAATGTAATTGCCTATGCCTCTAGACAATTAAAAGACTACGAGAAGAATTACCCGACGCACGACTTGGAACTCGCGGCAGTCGTGTTCGCCCTCAAAATTTGGAGACATTACCTTTATGGCGAAAAATGTTCGATCTTCACCGACCACAAAAGTCTCAAGTACTTCTTTACTCAAAAAGAGCTCAACATGAGGCAAAGAAGATGGCTTGAATTAGTCAAGGATTATGATTGCGAAATCCTTTACCATCCCGGTAAACCCAACGTTGTCGCCGACGCCCTTAGCCGAAAATCCATGTCCGCCTTGATCATTAAACCGCCGCTCGAATCAACTATCAAGTCCGCTCAAGACCATGATGATCATCTTGTCAAAATCCGAAAAGGCTTAGCAAACGGTCAAAATCCAAACTTCTCAATGACCGACGACAAAATCTTGAAATTTCAAGGGAGAATTTGCATTCCGGCAAACAAGGAGATAAAAGGATTAATTCTCGACCGAATTGGTGGCCAAGCCTATCGCCTCGCCCTACCGCCTCAACTATCCAAGATCCACAATGTCTTTCACGTCTCCATGCTCCGAAAACATATTCCCAACCCTAACCACGTCCTTGAAACCGAACCCCTCGATTTATCCCCGAACCTATCCTTTACCGAAGAACCCTCCCAAATATTAGACCGAAAAGTTAGGAAACTCCGAAACAAAGGAATTCGCCTAGCCAAAATCCTTTGGAAAAACCATTCTCCGGATGAGTCAACGTGGGAAATTGAGGATGAGATTGTGAGTCGTTATCAGGAACTAACTGAAAAAGGTACAAATTTTGGGGACAAAATTTTTTTTAAGGGGGGTAGACTGTAACACCCCGCATTTTCGGTAAAATAATTTTACCACCTTTATGTGCATATTTGTGAGATTAGAATTTATAATAATTCTTGCATGATTAGTGTTTACGTGAATTAGGTAATTATGTGAAATATATAAATTATGTGATTATGTGAATTATGTAATTATGTGAATTATGTGCTTAGGAAATATTTCGAAATAGTATGTCGAAATAAATTATTTTTCATAAATTAGGATTATTCTTGCACATGAATTTAAATGAGCATTTCATCATATTTATGCATGCACAAGATTTTAGAAAATGAATTTTTATCATGCATTTTAGGATTTTTAATTAATGTCGAAAATTTGAAAATCCTCCCCACATTTTTCTTGAATTTTCGGACATCACAAACACACACACATGATTTTAAAATTTGCATTTAATTAGTAGAAAAACATGCATTAGTGTGGTTGTACTTTGAGCATAGGAAGAAATACTCAAGCCTAGTTCCCTACTCTATAGACTAGGCATGCTTTTCACTCCTTTAAGTAAGACCAAAGGTCTTCTTCTTCTCCCTTCCTTCTTCATTTCGGCAGCCACACCACCACCACCATAACCACCATTTTCTCAAGCTTGAACCACCCAAGAACCACCACCACTCCCATTTTCGAAAATTGCAAAATCACCCCCAACCCACCTAAAGATTAAATTGCCAAGAAGCCCCTCCTCAATACTTAACCATTAAGGTTGCAAGCCTCCCCATTCTATAAATAGAACCCATTACCAAGTGTTTCCTCATCTCCCCACTACAATCCTAAGAAATCTCTCTTCTCTTCTTTCTTCATCCATTTTCGAAATTAGTAGTAGAAGAAGCTCAAAATATTTTCTTCAAGAGATTCTTGAATTTGAATGTAAGAGCTTCATCTCCTCTCTTATTCGAAAATTTCCTCTCTTCCTTCTTCATATTTTTTTGTAATCTAACTATTTATCTCTTCTTGTATTAGAGAGAAAAGAGCTAACAAATCCTTCCCCTAAAGAGTATAGGTGAGAATTCTTGAATTCTTGCTCAAACCTACAACACCACTAGTATTTTCGGTTTTTATGTGTTTTTATGGATTTCTATGTGTTTTTATTGTTTATTATGTGATTATATGTTTAAGATGATGATTGCATGTTAGTATTTTGAAAAGATGACTTTGTTCTTGAAGTTTTATGATTTTTCGAAAATTGGGGAAAAATGTTTTAAATGGCTTATTTGGCTTAATTAGTGCCTTGCATGTGTTGATCTAGTATTTGATTGTTGATTTGTGAAAAGAAAATGAATTTTTGGCCTAGCCATGAAACTTTCGAATTTTTGGGGAAAAATGTTTTAAATGGCTTATTTGGCTTAATTAGTGCCTTGCATGTGTTGATCTAGTATTTGATTGTTGATTTGTGAAAAGAAAATGAATTTTTGGCCTAACCATTAAACTTTCGAATTTTTGGGGAAAAATGTTTTAAATGGCTTATTTGGCTTAATTAGTGCCTCGCATGTGTTGATCTAGTGTTTTATTGTTGATTTTTGAAAAGAAAATGAATTTTTGACTTAACTATGGAACTTTCGAATTTTTGAGGGAAAATGCTTGAAATTGCTTATGTGGTTCATTTTGTGTTTTGTATGTGTTGATCTTGTGTTGATTGTTGTTTTAAGGCCTTGCATGTCAAGATTGGTGATTGATTGTTGATCTAAGGTCTTTCATGTTAAGATCTAGTGATTGATGGTTGATCTAAAGTCTTGCATGTTAAGATCTAGTGTTTTCTATGAAAAATGGTTTAAGAACTAAATTTTTTGTGCTAATTTGATTTAAAATACTCTTGCCTGTGAAGATCTAGTGTATTTTCTTGAATAAATGTAAAGATGGAAGTCTTGAATTTTATTCTTGTAAAAAATGCTAGATCTAGTGAACTTTGATGTTAGATTGTTTTTGCATGTTAAGATTTCGGTTATTTCTATGTTTTTACGACTAAATGATTTTGTGAAACTTTATGTGTATTTTCTATGTGCTCCTATGTGCTCTTGCTTGCTTATGTGAATCATTGGGTGTGAGGGTGAGAGAAGGGTAAGTGGAAGGGTGCATGGGTGGGTTCATTAAGTGTCATGAATTTTTAAAAGGATAAAACTATGTTGGAAAGTCTTTCGAGGTTACGGTAAATTTCTCGGATACGGCGAGCCTGGTACCGTAGGGCCTAGGGGTGGTTTGATCCCACGTAGTTAGACATGGTTCGAAATATATGGGGTTATTGACCGGTAACTTAGATTGACTCTTCCGAGGGATTCCCGACAATTTTCATGTCATGCATGTTGCATTATGGTGTTGATGATATAGGGGGAAAATCTCACTCTATGGTCTTGGGATCGTAGGGTTATAAAGGTGGGAAATTCCTTCTATAATCTTCAATACGTGTCATGGCATAGGGTTATAAAGGTGGGATATTCTCACTCTATGGTCTTGGGATCGTAGGGTTATAAAGGTGGGAATTATCTCACTCTATGCGTGTGGCAATTATGTGAATGAAGAACGCCGACGAAAAAGGGAAGTATATGATTGTTTTACTTCATGTTGTATGTTCATGTATAAGATATATGTATGTATATATATGTATAGATATATGTATGCTCTATGTGCTATGTGTATTCGATATTACTTCAAGATTCTCATTGAGTCCTCAAAGACTCATATAGGTGTTGTATGTTTGTAGGTATACCCGATTTAGGGCCCGAGGAGTGAAGTTGGGAATCGAGCTCGAGAATCGGAAGGAGATCGTATGGAGGGGTTGTGGATAGTATTGGTTCTCAATTTAGTTATGTGGTTTTATTTGTATAATATGCTTGTAAAAACTTTTGATACGGTTTTAGGTATTTTTTACCGTTCGCTTCCTCCGATCGGTGGAAACTATTAAACGACGACGTGTGTAATAGTAATTAGTATTACCCTATTTTGGATAATTAATCGGTAATCCGTAGTCTTTTGTAAGCGAAAGCAAATTTTCACAATTTATATGCATGCATGCTTTCGACTAGTGATTTCTTCGTGTTTTGTCTCCATGTTCTAAAATTATTTTCATATAGGTGCTCTGCTTATAAAATCATGAAATTTTAGGAGTCTCTGCATCTCTCTGTTCTCATCAGTTTGATAGGTCTTGTGCATGATTTGGGTAAGTATTCATTTAGTTATGATTTATTTCTCACTACTGCATTGAAACAGGGCCATTCGGGTGTTTTCTGGTATAACTGGAGTTTTACTCACTCAAATGCCTTGTTTCCACTTGGAAAATGTTTTACACTTACCGTTCTGCCTTGGGGTAAAATATGGTAGTTTTTGGGTTAGTGATGAATTTATTATGAATTTTCAAAACGCCCTCCCCTGTTCTGGATTTTTAAACTGAGTGGTTGTGCCATTTTATTTATTTCTCCTAGTTGTGGTTCTTTCACAACTGTTTTAACTGAGTGATCTAGACCCGTGTTAGATGGTATGGTATAATTTTGGGGTTATTTGCATGATTAGTTTAAGAGGAATTAATTTTTAAAGCTTCTGCAATGAATCTGTCCGCATTTGCATTAAGTCCATCATGCCTAGTTGTTTCCTAGTCTTGCATGTAGTATGCATTGGTGTTAATTGATCGATTAGGGTTTAGCAAGTTGTGCCCTCTCTCCCTCTGATTTAAAAAGAAAAAAAATTCTCGTAAATTTATATCCACAAAAATCATGTTTTCAAAAGTCTTCCGCTGAGATTACATATAATAAGAGTAATCGAGAGAGGGGTGTCACAGATTCTCTCTTCTAATTTGATTTTATTTTCCTAATTGCAACTCTTTTCTTTCTCTTTGATCATTTTTGCTTCCTGGACAACTAATTTTCGATTTGTACCTATAAGATACCAAATCCACCAATTCAAATAGAAAATAAATTAATCCAAAAAAAAAATCCACGTAAACGTAAACGTAGAGTTTTATTTCTACACTCCACTGTATCTATTTGATCTAGTGTTTTTGCCATTGTTTGTAAATGCCTTTGTATACTTACTTATGTGCGTATCTTTCAATCGACATCTTTTGTGCACGTTTCTCGATGCGCATTCATGTCCTCGAACTGTAGTATGTATTTTCATGATCGCTTTTGGAATCCAATTTTGACCATGTTCGAGTCCAAATTTGGATTTTTCACGTTAGACTGGAATTGTAACCAGCTGAAATAGCTTTCTAATGACCAGTTGATTTGGAGTCCGGATGAGAAAGTTATGCTCGACTTCGTGGACGTACACTACCAAAGATGTTGAGGGATTCTCTCTTCTAATTTAATTTTATTTTCCTAATTGCAACTCTTTTCTTTCTCTTTGATCATTTTTGCTTCCTGGACACCTAATTTTCGATTTGTACCTATAAGATACCAAATCCACCAATTCAAACAGAAAATAAATTAATCCAAAAAAAAAAATCCACTTAAACGTAAACGTAGAGTTTTATTTCTACACTCCACTATATCTTTTTTATCTAGTGTTTTTGCTGTTGTTTATTGATGCGTATTAAAGTCCTAGTATTGTAGTTCGTGTTTTGAAGAACGTTGTTGCGAATGCACTTTTGCGCATGTTTTCTTACATGTACGTTTGTGCATGTCCATTTGAGCGAGTGTGCTTGTGCATGTTTGTTGATTTGTATTAATGTCCTAGGATTGTAGTTTGGTTTTCATGATCCTTTTTGCGAATGCACTTTCGCGTGAGTACTTTTGTGCATGCCTTTGTATACTTACTTATGTGCGTATCTTTCTATCGACATTTTTTGTGCACGTTTCTCGATGCGCATTCATGTCCTTTAACTGTAGTATGTATTTTCATGATCGCTTTTGGAATCCAATTTTGATGTTCGAGTCCAAATTTGGATTTTTCACGTTAGACTGGAATTGTAACCAGCTCAAATAGCTTTCTAATGCCGCCGGAACCAGTTGATTTGGAGTCCGGATGAGAAAGTTATGCTCGACTTCGTGGACGTTCACTAC